CATCGGCCAAATCTGACTGCTATCTAGGCATTCAATTCAGTCTCAACGGTTCATTTAAAGGTGCCATGAACGAACTGAGGAAAAAAGCACTAAGAGCATTTTTCTCGATCAGACGCATGGTCGACACTCGAGCATTAACAACAAAAACCATGCTCAAGCTTATAGACAGCCTCGTTAAACCAGTCGCTACGTATGCCTGTCAGATATGGCTACCGTGTACAAAAATGGCAAAGGAGATGGCTTGCGCTGATGGTTCAAGACAGAACCTTGCCAGAGCTGCAACAAAGGACGCACTTGAGACAACACACCTGAAAATGCTGAAATGGGTGCTCGGCTTACACAAGAAAGCTAACAACAATTTCTGTTACGGAGATACGGGCAGGTTACCATGGGCCCTGTCGGTACTACCACAATGCCTGAGATACTTCGACAGATTGTCTCAGACATCACCCGACGTGAGCAGCGTCAACTTTCTTGTACATCAGACATTCCAAGAGCAGAAGAATCTAAACCTCTCTTGGTATAAGACCTGGAACTCGATCGCTCAGTCTGAATCCAAAGCGGCCAAATTCGCTCGATCCGACCAACACAGAGCAGAAGGAACGACCTCAACTGCACATGGAAATTTGGTTGATCACTTTGTAAAAGATTGGAGAACAGATTTAGCATCCCAAAAGAAAATGCAATTTTACTGCACTATCAAACAGGTATTCGGAGAGGAGCAGTATCTCAATCTAAAGAATAGTCAATGTCGCATGCACATAGCAAAAATCCGCTCCAGTAGCCATGACCTTCTTATTGAGAGAGGGAGATACACAAAAGAAACTGGAACGTGGACGAGAGCCTGCAGATTCTGCTGCAACAAGGATAACGTTCAAGGCTTAGAATATCTCCCCTTTTTCGAAGGAACAATCATTGAAAATGAAGAACACTGCCTCACTGAATGTCCAATGTACCACTCAGCGAGACTCTCACTGTCGGAAAACCTTAAGAGTCTTTTGCTGCTCAAGGAATACGGAGCTATCATGAATTCCGCCCATGTGCAAGAACTGGGCAAATTCCTTTGCAACTGTCACCGCATCAGGAACCCGAAAAAGACGCCAATACCGCCTGTCACCCCATCAGGACTACCAACTCAACAGACATAATACAGATCAACCATCATTATGCAGATTTCACGATCTGTTGTACGAGCATGGAACACTAGTGATTACTGTTTCCAGTACGTTGTGACTGTGAGTGGGAGGTCTGTTTGAGTATGAATGTGTCTTTTGTGGACTCGAATACTTATATCGCAGTTTAGTGACCATTGAAGTTGCCTTTTACTACTTCCTCTTATGTTAAATTATTATTTCAGCAATTATTTCTATTTCGGTTGTTTGTACGGGAGTTAAATTTTAAGTGATTTTGTTTTAAATTTTCATGATTCTTGAATCTCGAATTTTACTTACTCTAGATATGTTATTCATTCATGTATAGTCGAGACGATGGTGTTAGTGCCATCTCCGACAACTTTACGTTTAATTCCGTTTAATTCCGTTTAATTCCATCTGAAAATGGGACAGAGTTTTGAAAATACAACTTTTCGTTTTCTTAAGTTTTCTGCTGTGAGCTTCCTCCGACCCGAATCAAACTTCCAGCACCTCAATCGTGTCATTTGGCATCTATAGTTGACTGACTAATTGGTTGCGGGTCAGAAATTCGGCCAAAACTGTAAAATTTCGGCCCTGGAAGTTTCAGCTTCAAAAACTGAAAATGGGACAGAGTATGGGACAGTATGATTTTCCAATTTTTTCGAGATTTTGACTTCCAGTACCCCAATTTGGTTTCATACCATCATCAATTAACTGACTAATTGGTTTGTGGGCAAATATTTCAAGCAATCTGTCAAATGTGTGTTCAGAAATTTTCACATCTGAAAATGGGACAGAGTTTTGAAAATACAACTTTTCGTTTTCTTAAGATTTCTGCTGTGAGCTTCCTCCGACCCGAATCAAACTTCAAGCACCTCAATCGTGTCATTTGGCATCTATAGTTGACTGACTAATTGGTTGCGGGTCAGAAATTCGGCCAAAACTGTAAAATTTCGGCCCTGGAAGTTTCAGCTTCAAAAACTGAAAATGGGACAGAGTATGGGACAGTATGATTTTCCAATTTTTTCGAGATTTTGACTTCCAGTACCCCAATTTGGTTTCATACCATCATCAATTAACTGACTAATTGGTTTGTGGGCAAAAATTTCAAGCAATCTGTCAAATGTGTGTTCATAAATTTTCACATCTGAAAATGGGACAGAGTTTTGAAAATACAACTTTTCGTTTTTTTAAGTTTTCTGCTGTGAGCTTCCTCCGACCCGAATCAAACTTCCAGCACCTCAATCGTGTCATTTGGCATCTATAGTTGACTGACTAATTGGTTGCGGGTCAGAAATTCGGCCAAAACTGTAAAATTTCGGCCCTGGAAGTTTCAGCTTCAAAAACTGAAAATGGGACAGAGTATGGGACAGTATGATTTTCCAATTTTTTTCGAGATTTTGACTTCCAGTACCCCAATTTGGTTTCACACCATCATCAATTAACTGACTAATTGGTTTGTGGGCAAATATTTCAAGCAATCTGTCAAATGTGTGTTCAGAAATTTTCACATCTGAAAATGGGACAGAGTTTTGAAAATACAACTTTTCGTTTTCTTAAGATTTCTGCTGTGAGCTTCCTCCGACCCGAATCAAACTTCAAGCACCTCAATCGTGTCATTTGGCATCTATAGTTGACGGATGTTACTCGTCTAAATTTATTCGAAGTAGCGCGCGCCGCTTTCTTCTCGAAATGGCCCGATGGCAAGAGCTACGAAGTAGCGCGCGCCGGGCCAGATCATTAACAATGGTCAACATCTATAGTTGACTGACTTATTGGTTGCGGGTCAGAAATTCGGCCAAAACTGTAAAATTTCGGCCCTGGAAGTTTCAGCTTCAAAAACTGAAAATGGGACAGAGTATGGGACAGTATGATTTTCCAATTTTTTTCGAGATTTTGACTTCCAGTACCCCAATTTGGTTTCATACCATCATCAATTAACTGACTAATTGGTTTGTGGGCAAAAATTTCAAGCAATCTGTCAAATGTGCGTTCAGAAATTTTCACATCTGAAAATGGGACAGAGTTTTGAAAATACAACTTTTCGTTTTCTTAAGATTTCTGCTGTGAGCTTCCTCCGACCCGAATCAAACTTCCAGCACCTCAATCGTGTCATTTGGCATCTATAGTTGACTGACTAATTGGTTGCGGGTCAGAAATTCGGCCAAAACTGTAAAATTTCGGCCCTGGAAGTTTCAGCTTCAAAAACTGAAAATGGGACAGAGTATGGGACAGTATGATTTTCCAATTTTTTTCGAGATTTTGACTTCCAGTACCCCAATTTGGTTTCATACCATCATCAATTAACTGACTAATTGGTTTGTGGGCAAAAATTTCAAGCAATCTGTCAAATGTGTGTTCAGAAATTTTCACATCTGAAAATGGGACAGAGTTTTGAAAATACAACTTTTCGTTTTCTTAAGATTTCTGCTGTGAGCTTCCTCCGACCCGAATCAAACTTCCAGCACCTCAATCGTGTCATTTGGCATCTATAGTTGACTGACTAATTGGTTGCGGGTCAGAAATTCGGCCAAAACTGTAAAATTTCGGCCCTGGAAGTTTCAGCTTCAAAAACTGAAAATGGGACAGAGTATGGGACAGTATGATTTTCCAATTTTTTTCGAGATTTTGACTTCCAGTACCCCAATTTGGTTTCATACCATCATCAATTAACTGACTAATTGGTTTGTGGGCAAAAATTTCAAGCAATCTGTCAAATGTGCGTTCAGAAATTTTCACATCTGAAAATGGGACAGAGTTTTGAAAATACAACTTTTCGTTTTCTTAAGATTTCTGCTGTGAGCTTCCTCCGACCCGAATCAAACTTCCAGCACCTCAATCGTGTCATTTGGCATCTATAGTTGACTGACTAATTGGTTGCGGGTCAGAAATTCGGCCAAAACTGTAAAATTTCGGCCCTGGAAGTTTCAGCTTCAAAAACTGAAAATGGGACAGAGTATGGGACAGTATGATTTTCCAATTTTTTTCGAGATTTTGACTTCCAGTACCCCAATTTGGTTTCATACCATCATCAATTAACTGACTAATTGGTTTGTGGGCAAAAATTTCATCCAATCTGTCAAATGTGCGCTCAGAAATTTTCACATCTGAAAATGGGACAGAGTTTTGAAAATACAACTTTTTGTTTCGTTAATATTTCTGCTGCGAGCTTCCTCCGACCCAAATCAAACTTCCAGCACCTCAATCGTGTCATTTGTCATATATAGTTGACTGAATAATTTGTTGCGGGTCAGAAATTTTGTCAAAACTGTAAAATGTGTGCGTTTGCAGAAAAAATTAAAAATAGATTTTGCTCATGGGGTTGATTCTTAATCATTTGCATTCTTTTATTATCAGATTACTCGATCTCGGTCATTTGTTGTAATGCATGGCATGGCCAATGGCAATGGCATGATGGGCGACGGCATGTATAGCTTTTTTTCGGCGAATTTTCTTTAAAATAAAATTATGTATTTGTGTAATTACTAATTAGTATTAATGTTTATCAATGTGTATTATAGTGCAATATTCATACTTAGCCTAGGACAAAAGTTCGGAATAAAATTGAAATAATTCTTTAAGTTAAAACAATCAATGCAATGACAAATGACAATCAATTTATGAAGTCACTAATTTTTTGATTTTTTCCATTTTTAAATATCTAAATATAAGTAATAGTAAAATCAAACATGAACAATTAACTAAAATAATCAAAATTGATCCTTCATTTGTGTTCACCGTGAAAATATTTTCGTCACAATTTAATACCCATTAGATTGCTGGGAGCAGGATTACTGTTTTATAGCTAAAATATCGATGAACCAGTTATTAATCATTGAATCTTTATAATTGGATATATATTATATAACTGTAGTCAAAATTAAACAACAGCGCTACGTGGGACACTAATAATGCAACATTGAGCTAGGAATCAAACATAAACTGCCGCAACTTCCTACCAGCCCAATAACATTAACAGATACAATTGCAACAAGAGGCATATACGACATCATGATATAGCGGATGATGCCGCTTGAGTTCATCATAAGCACTACCAGAGTAAATATTTGGGCTGAGTCGTCTTTGTAGACAGTTCCTATAGCTGTTGTTATTATAACGTTGTTTGTGACGTCTATTATTCCTGGAAACATGTAACTATATTGTATTTGTAATGATATTATAGCGGAACGATTTAAAATAGACGGTTAAAATATTTGATCATAATGCTATAATGATAGAATTAGAGGGCCTCACCGCTCACGGTATATCCACTCGAATTCAAAACGCTAGGAACTTTGAACATACGTTACTAGATATAATTTTGACCGTATATTCGATTAAAAGTTGTCCAGAAACGATTGGGTTGATTTTTATGTGTATTTTGATTGGTGGAACGTGGTATAAATCACAATTTACCTATAGCGATACCGAGCATGTTGTTACCCCATCTGTTAGGATAGAGAGCTGGTACTGAATGGCTGTAAAACAGAGGGAACATGAAGGCGATAAGAAGGTACGCAGCTACGCCCAGTGTCGTAGTGATAACGGCTGTTCGTTTAAATCCAAGCCTTGCGACTATCTTCCCTGCTGGCCGACCACCTGAGAAGGTTTAAACTTTAAATTGTTTGTTTGGATTCTCGTGCTGGGGAGGCTATTCTGTAGTGTTTTTATCGATCAAATAACTTCATATTTTTGTTAGTAAACGTAGGAATAAATAATCAAATGATAAATAAAATTAAAAATAATAAATAAAAATAATAAATATTTAAATACATACCTATAATTTCTCCGAGTCCTACAAATATTCCAAACTGAGCCACGAACGATCTCTCCTCAAAAAGAATACCGATGTAGGCAGGGATAAGTGGGGTGTAGAGTTGAGAGTATATACCTGATTGTGGTAAGATATTTAGTTAATAATATGATATTTAATTAGTTACCTGATAATCCAATTAGTAAGCTATTTGAAAGTTAAACTGATAGGTCAATTAATTAGATAACTACTGAAAATGTAAACTTTAATAATTAACAAGTTCAAAAAGAAAATATAGAGCCTTGTATGTGCAGCCTTTATTATAGTTTATTTGATAGTATCATCAAGCTGTATCTTGCTGTTTTAGCTGTTTAGTTTAAGAAAAGCTTCGCCTTCAGTAAAACACGGAATTGTTTTATTATTACACCTGTAGAGCACAGAGGGAGAAGTAGATAAATGTTTTTCCTCTTGAAGAGAGGTCGAAGAGACGTTTTTAGCTGCCCCAACAGGGTAAGTTCATCGTAGTCTATTAGAGCGATAAATTATTAGCGAGAAAGGTCAATAGTTTTAATCGTCTTATGCATGTTTAAATATTTTGGCTTTTAAGGTAAAAAGTTTAAGTTTCTCCAGTTTTGACATAATTACACAAGAATTGTTCAACCAATTCTAAAATGATTCTTAGAGGAAATCAGTAAAATACTTGCCTTCAATCTTGCTGCCCGCTGTTGATTCGGAATCTGATCGTGAGCTTGCACCAGCAGATGAAAAACTCATCTTTTTCTGTAAAGTTGGAATAGTTAAATGAATGCTCTCAACCTTCAAATGCAACCAAAAGTTTTCAAGCAAGAAACATTGCGTTTAACTTTAATTATTTTTTGTCAACAAAGTCGAAAAACCACGGATAGCAAATTAATTTCCTTGTGTTTGAAAATACTCACGCCAATGAGGGGTGCTTCTTCGTCCTCCAGTCCGGAAGGAGGGAGTGGAGGTGGGGTGACAGTGAAGCAGTAAAGAATGCAACCCGTCACACACATTGCTGTTAACGCTCCTGACACCACCTGACAAACAATCATTTCAATTTAGATTATTACAAATGAGGAGAAAATTATGAATTGAGAAGTCAGTATTTTCATTCAATTGATAGCTATCCGATCCACATTCCAGCTCGGCTAACTGATGAGATAATATTTGGATTTTTATCCTATGATACTAACTATGTACTGTTTTCTATTTTATTTTTGATAGGGACCCAGGACATGAAAATGTAGCAAATACTGACAAATTTTCAAGGTTTATGTTTTAATGTAGTTAATCATACTTTCATATTATAGTGTTGTATGTACATTGTACATTGTACTCACCATTCTGGTATTGTCATCAAGAAACTTTTTATCACCAATACCAAAGTAAAGAACAGTATTCCCAAACAAAATACAACTCATGAATATCATCCAATGAATACCGCTATTCCTTGCCATCTTCTCCTTTGTGGAATTCTCCGAGAGAAACTGCAGACTTACCGCGCGTGAAAACGCGTTTCCTGAAAAAAACAAGGATATTGACACGATAATCATTATACTAATTAGTTGGGAATTTCGGCAAAATGTAAGTTCGTTTTCCCCAACTATGACTAATGACTAATGAAAGATGTGATTGTAATTAGGCTTAGCCTTAATGATAATTTAAGAGCTATATTATGTCAAGAAGTAAAAGATCCTCACCAATTCCATTAATAGCCTGTCCGATGAAGATAGTGAAGTTGTAAGGCATGAAGAGGGCCAGGGTTATAGGAATACTGCACATGGATCCCAGCACTAAACTTAGTCTCATTCCGATCAGCTGTGTGATATTGCAGATTCAACAGATTCACGTATTACAGAAGTATCAAAATAAACAACCCTTTCTGCATGTCAATCATATTAAATGATTTTCTAACCTTTGTATACTGGTGTCTTATTTGCGTTGAACATTTTGAAGATGTTTCCCTGCCTATGCACTATACTAAATGCTAACTGCTAATGCAGCACGAGCCACGATTCAATAAAGTTCTAACTATTGATAGCTTTACCTTCATGATAAAGGGTGTGACAAACGCAGCAATCACAACAAACAGGTTATTAATCATGAGTCCAGTAAACGCTGTGTGCTTGTCTACACCGTGTCTGCCGTTCATGTCTGAAAACGCCGTCGGCTGAGAAGAAAATAGAAATAGTAAAGTTTTGCTGGTCGACGCTGATCACCCTGTCATTACGCCATATTTTTATTCGGTTTATCATTATGACAGCCTGAGATCCTTATAAGGTAAGTAAAATTAAGCTCATTCTTTAATCAATGAGTTAATTGTTGAATAATTAGGTAATTAGGTGAATCAAGGGCTATTATTCGGGATAAGATGAACATTAAATTAAATTTAGATTAAATACCATGACTGCAGCGCCGCCGTAGTAACTGCTGTAGACCAACATTACAGCCACCGCGTTTATGAATATGTTTCTGGTCCGTATTCTGTTGTTCTTGGCTAGCATGTCCTGGCTTTCCTGTAAAAATCACTTTATCAAATAAGGAGCTGGAAATTAAAAACTGAATTGATATAATGGCAACGTGGAATGGGTGATTTATATTTTAACCTTATATTACTTCACCATCACTCTACAACCACAGTCCATTATTTCATTATGAACCTACGATCTGACGATCACTGCATCACTTATTCGCGTGCTCTATAATACACTAACAGTATAAATTAATTATATATAACTGGCTACAATCAGACGAATACAGTTTTTAGATGTTAATGGGGACGTGATCAGTGATGAAATTGAAAAAGCAAAATTAATTTTTTGCTATTCTTACAAACACAACTAACTAACCATGAGTCTAGTTTCTTGTCCAATATGTTCAGCAATTAACCAAGTCAAATTTAACAGAAAATGAGAAAGAAAAATTAGTGAGGGCAGATGAAGATGTTTTACTAATACTATTAAAACAATCATAAAACATGAGCATTATTCGGTCATATCGTCTATCACGGTTCGACGGTTATCAACTTGTCCGTGGTTTTCTGGTGCGGGGTTCGATGTTTCACAGTATGTCAGTGGCGTAACGTTACCTGGGAAAAAGCGTCCCCATAGTGGCCCCCCCCCCACCGAAAAAGCGCCTCCCCCCCCCCCTGTTGGCCCCCCTAAGATGTCGCCCTCCTAGCAGCGCGGGGTCAGCGGGGCCCTTCGTTACGCCACTGCCGTATGTGCCATACAAACAAATAATGCCCAAAGCTAAAAAAGGAACGAAAGTTGAAGTTATACTTATAAATGCAGTGGGTTATCTAACGGTATTATCTGTCGCTGGAGTTATTTACTAATTATATCGTTACAAACTCTCACAGCTAACAATTTTGATGGTTCTGGCTTTGGCAGGTCTGTTGATCCAAAATTAAGGACAAAAGGGAGAGGGAGGCAAAAGACCTGATTATAAATTAAGAGGCTTGCATATAATGAACATATTGACATGGGTGCATAGTTTAATCATTATCATGGATAATTTGGTGAGAGAAAATATAGCAGCATACCGTTGCTCTGATCCCTCCTTTTTCTTCCATGATTATTAAAAATATGAAGAATAAATAAGTAAAGAAAGAATTGGCTATATTAGAAAACAAGCATTAATCGAAAGAGGAAATAAGGTAACGATTATATCATTAAACGCAAACTCTGCCTATTAGCTAAGAATCATACTCATATCAATCATCGTAAATCAAACGGCTGTAGGACTATTGAGCGGAGGACTGTTGAGCCTAGGACTGTAGGTCGGTGAAGGTCGGAAGTAGGACTGTAGAGCGGTGTCAAATCGCCAGGGTAGGACTCTAGAGCGGCCGCCCACAACATGAGGACTTTAGAGCGGTACGATCCTCGAATGAGGACTGTAGAGCGGTGGACTGTTGAGCGGTGGACTGTAGGCCGGTGAAGGTCGGAAGTAGGACTGTAGAGCGGCCCTCCCTTATAGATCCCATAACATGATGACTCTAGAGCGGTACCCTCCTATAACATGAGGACTCTAGAGCGGTACCCTCCTATAACATGAGGACTCTATAGCGGTTGAAATTTGAAGGTTGAACACTCAACGAAGCTAAGTTATACATTGTAACTCGTGAATGATTATTGTCAACTTTTACTTTATTAAAGAGTCATGGAGTTAATGAACATTTTCATTTACTTATTTTAAATATTTCATTACTAGTGTAACTTAATTTAGGATTATTGGTCTGTCTACAGTCCTACTTCCGACCTTCACCGGCCTACAGTCCACCGCTCAACAGTCCACCGCTCTACAGTCCTCATTCGAGGATCGTACCGCTCTAAAGTCCTCATGTTGTGGGCGGCCGCTCTAGAGTCCTACCCTGGCGATTTGACACCGCTCTACAGTCCTACTTCCGACCTTCACCGACCTACAGTCCTACGCTCAACAGTCCTCCGCTCAATAGTCCTGCTCCCAATCAAACTTTTTCGTAAAAACTATAAAATGTATATCAATATGAAAGTATATAATCTCATAATTATATCGGTTTATGAACGATTGATTGTTTACATTCCCATTTAAACTTGCCTTATCTACGTCCATCATATTAAGTTTCAAGTTGTACGCATCTGTTGTGGAAATGGATTTGGAGAGTCTTTTCTTTAAATTGGAGTCGGAGCTGGGACTAGCGGCACTCATTTCATGGTGTTCATGCTTTAGCGTACGCTACAATGCTAAAATAATGACTGCTTTCAACAATACTAAAACAAATGTTGAACTTGAAATGCAAATGTTGTTAAATTTTAGCTTCACAATGTGATAACAAATATATATTTCGGTATATGGATACCGAAACATTATTTTTGTATCATATTGTGAGTACCTAAAATTGAACACAACTGGTTTTAACGTATTGCAGTTCTGGGTTATCGGGTTGATTTTTAAGACACTGATAAGCTAAAACCGTTGGCAAATGCCCCCCGTCGGGCAAATCACGTTACAAATTTGCTCAGCAATTTCAAAATAAAGGTATTTTCTAAACTTATTTATTAGTAAATTTAAGAAACGGTTATCAAAAACCAAACAAAAGACAGGTAAAATGAACCCTACAATTATTGAACCCGTTTCTAACGGAACCAGTATTTAGTTGGTTAATCATAAGTATAAAGGTACGTTAAAATACGGAATGTGCCCATGACTTACTGTTGCTCTGTTGCATGTTCGTGCTCAGCTCATTTCATAGATAAGACATTAGACACAGTGAGATAAAGTGGACTTCTAATTAATCTTTACATATAACATTGAAAAACGCCGTGGGTTTGAAACTAAAAGATCAGGTTTCCATATGATGATAAGACAAATCATGTTCATTGGCAGTTTCAATCGAATTTGGCTTCAGATGATTACAATAATTGGAGCATGCACGTAATCGATTGTCGTGTAATTTCATGACTCTTAATTCAATCTCGTATCATGGTTTAGGAGTTTACGACATGAGGTAGGTAAGATTCACTGAAAGATAAAATCTGAAGCTGGAAAAGTGCCAAAAATGTTTCAAAATTCTGCCAAATTTTATCAAATTTATGCCAAGCAAAACAATAAAAATGAAGATTATTTCTTCGCAATGTCTAGTAGTTTTCTTAGAATTTCTTTCTATTCTTTTAATCTAATCGTCTTTTTATCTGCTGTCGCAATTGTTCATGAGTACATATAAAACTAGACAGATAAAAGTACGATAATGTATTTATGTACTGCACACGTACTGCTACAGAATTGATAAGAATAATAAGGCTCACGATAATTTTAGAATTTTGTCATGTAATAAACTTTTGTACGCACACATTTTGCATAAGTTTAGTTATTTAACTGAAAGATATTGAAAATGTTTGAAATTGAAATTTTTAAATGGCCAATCTTACAAAAAGGAACATATAAAAGTACAAATACATAAAATACAAACATTTTTCATTACCAACCGAACAAGATAGAAATGTTTAGCGCTTGCGTGTCACTTTGAGAGTGCGACTTTAATTAGCATACAAATTTTCCAATTATTTCCAACCCAACTTTAATTGGACATACCGTTACCGACAGCACATCAGTTACTATTATTCCCAAAATTACTTGTTTACTTATTTTTCTTTCTCATCATCGGACAAGAAAATAAGAAAAACATGGTTGTACGGCTAAAAATGAACATTAAGCACCAACCAAGTACAGTACAGCAATTCTGTTTGGATTAATTTTAGTTTTTAATTATTATGTCAATTGTGTCGTTATATTAGGATTTTAAACGTTATAGTTTATTCCAACTTCGTCATAATTTAAAAAATGATAAATTTAAACAATATACACATAATATAGCAATGACCCTATATAAAAAATTTTTAAAAATGGTACAATTTTTAAAAACTGAGGTAAAAATAAAACCCTTTGAAATAATATATAACAAATTCACATCACAACAAAAAGTAGTTTAGGCCCCCATCCAACAAGCACTCCATGACCTTTTAGGGTTTAGGAGTGTTGATCAGGTTAAGGTCCAAATCACTTATTGCCGTGGGTGGAAGAGTTCTGGTACCTCTGACCTCTGTACCCCTTACTGGGCGGCGCTCAGCCTGTCATTTCGCCGAATCTTTATGTTTATGAACATATAATAATAGCCTGGGGTCCCCTGCAGGTAACTGTACCCCCTGATAGAGATTATACAGGTTCTGGTTTAATTGGCAAATTTTCCAATTATTTCCAACCCAACTTTAATTGGACATACCGTTACCGACAGCACATCAGTTACTATTATTCCCAAAATTACATGTTTACTTATTTTTTTCACAGCTTTCTCACCATCGGACAAGAAAAGAAAAAAGACATGGTTGTACGGCTAAAAATGAACATTAAGCACCAACCAAGTGCAGTACTGAGTACAGCAATTCTGTTTGGATTAATTTTAGTTTTTAATTATTATGTCAATTGTGTCGTTATAATAGGATTTTAAACGTTATAGTTTATTCCAAGTTCGTCATAAATCTAAATTTCAATCAATGGGATCAAATGAGGTGGAGTAAAATTAGCACCAAAACTTGGAAATTCAAATAAATTTTACATAAATATAATTGTAATATAACATTGATGTAAAATTTATTCGAATTTCGAAATAATATGACAATGTTTTAGCATAATTAATTGTCCAAGTTTTAGTGATAATTTTATTCCATCTCATTAGATCCCGTAGTCCCGTTGATTTAAATTTAGCATTATGACGAAGTTGGAATAAACTAACGTTTAAACCCCTAACGTCACACCTTTTCTTGAATTTATAACGTCACACATTTCTTATTGTTTTCTGTCGACCCTGCCTATCAATGGTTACATCACTCATACATAATTCCTTTAACATTTCCTTAAAGTTCATTGTCCAATTATTTCTGTGAACTTTATCTAACCACTCCGTCTAAGAGAGACGTTAGAAATAGACGTGACCTGAAAAACATACCCAATAATCACACGTAATATTTTGATAGCAGCCGTACCAATTTCTACACGTTTCCAGAATCGTCCCCCAAATAAGGTCACATCAATTCTGTCATATCACAGGTAACGTGTAATATCACAACAAATCTTGTTTCCCCTGCAGTATCTGGTTCAGGGGACAGTGCCAGGGTGCAGCCCTTCTTGTAAGCAGATCATTTCCCTCTTGTAGTGTTTTAACTGGAGCTCAGGATCGCAATTGTAAGCTGGACCCATTTATCATCAATAGACTCTTTGTCTAGGTCTCACTATACATTGCAACTCATGGTTTTTGCCACGGCAACACTAGTCATCAATAAGAATATACGAGAATTATAAAATATTTATTGTAATACAATTTAACCGGGGAGCTCATACAGGAAACTATAATCTAATAGGTATGTTGCCAGGGGAAACGTCTCCCACCATCCGACATAACAGAGTGGTATCACGAGGTCTAAACCTAGCACCTGTTGAAATAATGAGATGTGCAACATACCTGAAGTGATGGTGACAAATTACCAGGGATTTGATTTGTGAAAGTGGAGAGGTGCAGGTGCCAGTTCGTGTATATATGTGGGGAGGCAACTAGGGAGCATACCCAATTGAACAATTTTAATCGGTATTTGTGGTATTTTATGATTGCGATTGCCAGGTTGTAGTCGCATTTTTTCGTTCGGGCAGTATTGTTTTGTCATCGTTATGTTTGCGCGCTTAATGAAGTTACAAATCATAGTTTTACTGGTAAGAATATCGCTGATCTTGGTTTAGGCCATCCGCCATATAATATTATTTAGGTCATGATAATATTTCAATATTTCATCACAAAGGTTTCTATCGAAAACTAAATGGTCAATTTTTTTTGAAAACGTAGAATTTTGATTTTCGAATCGAGGCCGAATAGTTGTTCATCACTGATGACCTTCCTCAAATGGCAACAATCGGCTACCGACTAGTTCCAAATGTTTGTAACTTAAGCCCGATCTCAAGGCTCGAATATTAGAATATTAGAATGCTAAATTATTAGCACGTACAACAAGATTACATCTACGATATTGTCTTCCGAATTGATAAGATAATTATGTACTAAAATTGATCCAAATTTAAATATAATCAATATGCGTTTTCGGTTTTACCATAACCAGTTCTATTTATTTGACCATTATATTCACCATACCACTCGTTTAATTTCAGATAAAGTTAACAATATCGGAGTACTTCTCAGATTAACCACTCGTTTGTTTTCAGATAAAGTTTACAATATCGGAGTACTTCTCAGATCAACCACTCGTTTGTTTTCAGATAAAGTTAACAATATCGGAGTACTTTTCAGATTAACCACTCGTTCGTTTTCAGATAAAGTTAACAATATCGGCGTACTTCTCAGATCAACCACTCGTTCGTTTTCAGATAAAGTTAACAATATCGAAGTTCTTCTCAGATCAACCACTCGTTTGTTTTCAGATAAAGTTAACAATATCGGAGTACTTCTCAAATAAACCACTCGTTTGTTTTCAGATAAAGTTTACAATATCGGAGTACTTCTCAGATTTACCATTCGTTTGTTTTCAGATAAAGTTAACAATATCGGAGTACTTCTCAGATTTACCATTCGTTTGTTTTCAGATAAAGTTAACAATATCGGAGTACTTCTCGGATCAACCACTCGTTTGTTTTCAGATAAAGTTAACAATATCGGAGTACTTCTCAGATCAACCACTCGTTTGTTTTCAGATAAAGTTAACAATATCGGAGTTCTTCTCAGATCAACCACTCGTTTGTTTTCAGATAAAGTTAACAATATCGGAGTACTTCTCAGATCAACCACTCGTTTGTTTTCAAATAAAGTTTACAATATCGGAGTACTTCTCAGATCAACCACTCGTTCGTTTTCAGATAAAGTTAACAATATCGGAGTACTTCTCAGATCAACCACTCGTTTGTTTTCAGATAAAGTTAACAATATCGGAGTACTTCTCGGATGGAGAACATAGCTTTCTGGAACTTTCTGATCAGTGGGAGTACCTGTCAAAGTTTGCTTACTCTAAAAATGGAAATATTGAATTAGTTTGCAAATTTAACCGTCCCGATTCTGATGTGAGTATTTGATATTTTGTTTGCAAAGACACATAAACTGTGATTATATCTCGTAATTCAGTAATCTAGCTTCCAATGAGGTTCCTCAAATGTACCCAAATGAATTTCAACATTCATATCAGAACATTGTTAAGAAGAATCGGAACAAAAGTTGAAATTTAAAAATCCAATTGAAATATTTGGTCTTGTATTACGTAGACACTAGACATGACTATAGTTTTAGTACTCAATTCAGTTAGTCCATCGATATCACTCCTGATCAAATCCAAAAACTGCTGATGGGAAACAATAAACTAATAAACAAACATACTCTTTTCAGGACAAAGTTGATAAAGTGCTGATGGGAAACAATAAACTAATAAACAAACATACTCTTTTCAGGACAAAGTTGTTAAAGTGCTGATGGGAAACAATAAACTAATAAACAAACATACTCTTTTCAGGACAAAGTTGTTAAAGTGCTGATGGGAAACAATAAACTAATAAACAAACATACTCTTTTCAGGACAAAGTTGTTAAAGTGCTGATGGGAAACAATAAACTAATAAACAAACATACTCTTTTCAGGACAAAGTTGTTAAAGTGCTGATGGGAAACAATAAACTAATAAACAAACATACTCTTTTCAGGACAAAGTTGTTAAAGTGGGGTTTTATCAGATGCCAGTAGAATCGTGGGAGAGTGACGTTAGATCTAAAAAGAGCTGTGAAGAGAGATTAAGCTTAGCTACATTTACTTTGGAGCTTGTGGTGGAGGAGGACAGAGAGACAGTGAGTATCACCCTTTAAATCACTCCGCAAATCACACTGTTAGAGAGAGAGAGAGAGAGAGAGAGAGAGAGAGAGAGAGAGAGAGAGAGAGAGAGAGAGAGAGAGAGAGAGAGAGAGAGAGAGAGAGAGAGAGAGAGAGAGAGAGAGAGAGAGAGAGAGAGAGAGAGAGATAGAGAGAGAGAGAGAGAGAGAGAGAGAGACAGCTTGAGTATCACCCTTTAAATCACTCCGCAAATCACACTGTTAGAGAGAGAGAGAGAGAGAGAGAGAGAGAGAGAGAGAGAGAGAGAGAGAGAGAGAGAGAGAGAGAGAGAGAGAGAGAGAGAGAGAGAGAGAGAGAGAGAGAGAGAGAGAGAGAGAGAGAGAGAGAGAGAGAGAGAGAGAGAGAGAGAGAGACAGCTTGAGTATCACCCTTTAAATCACTCCGCAAATCACACTGTTAGAGAGAGAGACAGAGAGAGAGAGAGAGACAGTGAGTATCACCCTTTAAATCACTCCGCAAATCACACTGTTAATCACTCTTTACAGTCTTCATAATTTGTAAATCACCCTGTAAATCACCATATCTTCAGGGACATCTTTTAAATCACCCGCTACTCGATATTCTTCTCGCATACTTTCTTTCGGTTATAATGCTATTCTATCACATCATGGTAACAAATGGGATCCTGCCAAGATAGCTATCATGCTGCAAATACCACGTGATCAGTGAGCCACAGTTTATTGTGTTCAAGATATGGCTCCATTACCAGGTTGTTTCAATTACCAGGTTGTTTCAGTTACCAGGTTGTTTCAGCTTTTCGGTAACCAGGGCACACTGTAACTCGATAACGTGGCCACTGTTGGTCCAAAATAAATTTAGATCATTTATTATTGCATCTATTTCTGTAATCTGTAGTCGCCATGAGATTAAGGATTCAAAAATGATTGAATTATTTCCGCACAAACAATGTGACCTAGAAGAAGTATCCTATAAAGTTCCATCAATAAAAATATTTATGAAGGAGCAATGGATGCGATTCGAGGGTAGTTTGTCCAAAAATAAATCCAAAAGATTCATTACAGCATCTATTTCTGTAGTCGCAATGAGATTTAGGATTCAAAAGTGATTTAATTATTTCCGCACAAACAATGTGACCTAGAAGTAGTATCCTATAAAGTTCCATCAATAAAAAATTTATGAAGGAGCAGTGGATGCGATTTGAGGGTTGCAGTTATGGTCAGATCGAGGAAGTTGTACGTTCGGTAAGATAAGAAAAACTATGGTATATTGTAGATGATGTACCTGAGATGGTGTTAACTTACTATTTTAGTATTTTAACGGGCTGAAGTCACAATTAGGGTGCCAGCTGGTACATATCATTGTCACTTTCCAGGGTCGATTGTGGACCAGACTTCAGAAACTCAAACGATTAAGCGACCTACATAATATTTGTATAATAATTCAGATTGTGTCTATTTTCCTCGACTATGACGTCATGTTAAAACTACTAGCATAGCATTGACGCACTTTGCAGCTATTTTGTTGAATTATTCCAATCGGTCGGTTAGCAACCGTTTGCCGATTAAATGAATGATTTTTTCAAATTATGATGGAAGTATCATCATTGGAAATCATAATTTTATAACGTGACGAATTAGATTTTTAACGTATTTTAATCACATTAAACATTATTTAATCCCCCTTTTTCCCAGGAGAAGGAGAGGAAGTGTTTCTTCTTCTACGACGATATTGTATGCAAGATAACAAAAGATATTAACGGTAACAAAGAACCCTGGGTATTTGTAGCTATATTGTACTGCGATAACGACATTACTGATTTAGGTGAGCAGTCACGGAAATTTTCGTTATTCAAACACAAGGAAATCTTAATTTTATACCGACATGGTGATCCTAAGATTAATATGGCATCTAACATTTTTGGCTAAGTCTTGCAGTGGGCTATACATTGGTCAGGACTCAGGCTATACTATATCTTTCTTCGCGGACAGCGATATCTAGTATCTACCGCTAACCACCAAATGTTTATCTGACATGCTAACACGTCATGTTACTTTTATAGGACTAACGATGTAGAACAAATACGAATATTTCATCCGAATTATGATGTTTTACTGCCTATCCAACATATTACATAATTATTATTACATAATTATTACAAGAAACTAATGATACACCCCTTACCCAGAACTTGAGTGGAAGATGCATAGCACTAACGGAAAGTCTTTTCTGGTCAAGGAGGCTCCAGTCACTGACATGGGACTTTACCAAGCTTATCTTGCTTTCACTATCATATCTGCTTTGTTGATCGTGTTTTGGTGAGTGGGTTGTGTTTTACCAATTTTATTTAATATAACATTAATATCATGTTCAATCACTACAAAGCTAATGAATAATTGTTAAAACGCCTATCCAAGAATTATTCATTGAAACCATTAAATTAACCTGCAAGAGGTAAACTGTAATTATCTTATTCACTTGTTTACGTCTTCAGTTTACAAATCAGTGAAACACAAACATACTACAGACCCCCTCAAAGTCCTTTTCAACGTTACTGCCAGGTTACATAGCACTCAAATTATTTGTTATATAGTAGTGTTGAAAGTATTAAAACTTTATTAAACCTTACTCTCATTCAGGGTTATCTACTACAAGAAGATCAAGTTAAACATGAAAGTAGCAGTTCCTTACAAGATAGCCCTGTTCATTTCCTTCGTGGGATTTGCCATGATAACAGGTAGATGACAAAGAAACAGATAGTATTTATACTTCTAATTTGTGCAATCCTCACAGATCCACAATTTCCAAATGGTTGCTATTGTTCAGACATTCAGACACATATCCGACTTTAACTTTCGGCTTTATTCACATCATAATGATCTGTCAAACTAAAGAATAAATAAAATAAGCCATGTTCAGATTGAATGTAAGTCAATATCAATGTAAGTAAATATTTCTGCAAGTAAATGTTTTTGTAAGTAATCGTAAGTAAATGTTTCTGTAAATAATAAATAAACGTAAGCAAATGTCTACAGGTTTCTATGGTAGATTACACAGTACTGGGTACCGGAATGACAGTCTCTTTAACGCTGGGTTCATATTCTGTATGATAGCTTACACTCTCATAGTCCAGTCCTCACTTACTGCTGTTTGGTCAGGTGGGTTTGTTTGTTCGTGAGTTTGTTTGTGTGTTTGTTCGTGTGTTTGTTCGTGTGTTTGTTCGTGTGTTTGTTCGTGAGTTTGTTCGCGGTTTTTTTGTGTGTGTTTGTTCGCGTGTTTTTCACGTGTTTGTTTGTATTTTTGTTCGTGTGTTTGTTCGTGTGTTTGTTTGTTTGTTTGTTTGTTCGTGTTTGTGTTCTAGTGTTAATTTTATCTTATCACAATCGATTTTTTGTTTTCTGTGAATTCCTCGTTCTAACAACTTCTAGCTTAAGAACTAATTTCCTTTTTATTTACCTCAAAGATAAATATCCATCGATGGGTTTTCTAACTAAAACATAACCTTCTGCTCCAGGCAGTATCATAACGATGGGTTTCCTAACTAAAACATAACCTTTTGCTCCAGGCAGTATCATAACGATCCATCTACCTCGGTGGAAGACGGTTATGACGTTTGTTGTGCCCATTGTATTCGTGGTTGCCATGCTGACAGTCTTTACTCTGCAGTACCTTGATGTGGAACAACGAGATGTTTACCCTTTCGAACAACGCTCAGATAGGGTCAGTTTTAATTGTATTTGCCTGGGTTATTTTTGTAAGTTAATTAGTTACATGAGGATCAGGGACAAAAGGAAATCGCGATTTTTCCCGTTATTTGCGACAAATTTTATGTATAGTTTAATATACCGCGAAATTTAATTCGCGGTATCGCGACTTTTGGCCAAAATAACCGCGAAATCCTTTTGTCCCTGATGAGGATCAATAAAGACTTGATGGATTAGCAGGCGTCGGCGATATTTCATCGTAACATTACAGTTACAATGGTATTGATAACCAATTATACTCGAACAGATTATTGAGCGGCCGTTTTAATGATCGCATATTAAATTAATTCTGAAAGAATCAATGTACCAATTACTAAATAATTATTTTAAAGTTTTAGTTAGTAGTTTTTATTAAGAGAAAGTGCATTTAACTAATAATTAATCATATGTACCTCCACCAAAATGTTCAGGACTTGAATATTACATCCGCCATTAATCTAATAATAATGATAAAAATTATAAAAATCATAAAAATTATAAAAATTATCTGTTTACGATGATCAGCAAATTACGAGGCAAATTAATTTAAGTTCATTTGCATTCAGAACAAAATACAAACTGCTTAAATGGTCAATAAAAATAATACTGCGGTCATCAAATGCATTCACATATTATATTATTATGTTATTGTTTATATAGTCTCAGGATTTCCCCAGTAAAATGCTTCCTTAGAGTATAAAATATGTAGTTAAAACTAATATTAGTTTCACTTTTACTTACTCCGATTGTTTAGCTCATTTGCAGCAATTCAACCCTCAAAGGAGACATAAGAATGTATTACAAATTAAATTAGTCTGCACAATTTAATTGTCAGGTGGCTCACTCGATCAAATCTAGCTAATAGAATAGCTATGGTCTCTAATATCGATTAATATTTCCAAATTTTTCATGATGAAACTTAATTCAATATTCTACTCACGAAATTATGTCTGCTTCAATCAAAGAATAAAACTGCATGTAGACATGCTGTAAGATCTAAGGTTCATGTGATTGCGGCTTTGGTGGTCACACACTTAAAGTTTCTCCAACTTGAAAACATGGTTAGATAAATTAACGGGAGTACTCAGTACAATTGTAACTTCCTAACTTATTCCTACAGCTGTAAAAGTATCGTATCAAAAAAACAAAAAGTTGTTATTCTTAACCGATCTAAAATTTAAGAACTGTTTATTATTTATATTTTGATCTAGATTTATTTTTCAGTATCTGATATGGATCGTTCTGGGCTTCTCCCTGATAATCTGGCTATTATACACAGTCCCCATAGTGGCCACTGCCTCAAGTAAAGCAGATAAGATAGTGTATCTCCGGATATTATACATGATCTTATCAACATACCTGTTCGCCGTCGGGGGATGTCCCCTTATTGCCAACTTCAACTTGCAGACGGAGAAAAGGTTTCATTTTATGCTTCGCTTTCTAAAATTTATTTTTGTTTAGATAAAATAAAATTAAGCTGGTTCTAGCTAATTCAGTTTAAAATTTTGAGTTTACATCTCACATCATGAAAAGTCAGGTTAGAACAAATCCTTCCGTCACTAAACTAGCTCCTAAACTTTCAGAAAGTTGTTTGTCCTAGTTTGTTTTGGAACCGCTCATCTCCTCAACTTCTTCTTTCTCTTCCTCTGCATCAAAGATAACCACACCCTCACCTCACTCCGACACTTCTGGTGGACTATTCTACACGATTATATCTGCTGCAAATTTAAACTGTGTCCCTGTCTCGGCTGTGGGAAGGATGACTCAGAAAGTGGGAAGTATCGTGGAACCAGAAATGAGAGTGGTTCGTCACCTGGTGACATGTACGGTGGGAGAAGTGGGAATAGGGGAGGAGGAGGCTGTTTTGGGTGTTGTTTGAATATATGTCCCTGTTTCTCAGGCTGTCCCTGCTGTAAAGGTGACGACCAGGGGGCTGGAAACATATACTCAAGTCAGACGGATCTCAAGAAAATATTAGTTCAGAGCAAAAATGTCGACGATTTTGATCTGAAAATAATGGATATGGAGGACGATCAAGCAAAAAAGAATAAAACCTCACAGAACACTACCCCAGAGAAGGAACCTATCGTTATCATAAACAATGTTTCAAAAGAATTCGACACTCCGGCCACCACTGTAAAACAACCTACTGTTGAGATTATAGACGGCTTCAGTGATGATGAGCAGGGTCCAGATCAGGTTATTTATTTTTCAGATTTAACTATTCGCCCACCTTGCTCACTTTATACTTCTATAGACCACAAAAAGTCACTCTTAAGCCTTAGCTTAGATATGGACAGATATTTTGATATATCGTTATAAATCTAACTTGACCTTTAATCTGTATAATAAACGATCCTTTTCTGCAGTTTCAGCATGATGCGAACTATAAAGTCCTTCCCTGGCTCTATCACGACAAACCGACCCAGGAGCTTACCCCAAAACGACGATTCTCCAACGCTATCATCAACACAGTCAAGATGAATATAACAGAGCACGGATATAAGGGTGGGGCTGCTAACCATTGGAGTAAAGGGAGCCACAAACCCGTTTGCAACGTCTGAAAATAAACCGATTGTGTTGTACACAAGGCCAGATAGCAACCAAACGAGTGTAAATGGGAAACCAGCCATTTTCAACCCGCCGAAGGTAATCGTTTTATTGTTTTGTACTTATTGAGTTAGGATAATATTAATAGAAAGTTTTTAATAAATTTAGTTACTATTCAGCTGCGTTCTCTCGTGGATGTCATGGTAATTTCGGAATTGAAAAATAAATTTTAGTGAAGCTAAAAATCTAATACAATTTGTAACAAATTATGATACAACTGTTCGCAGACACAAATAAGTGTTCCAGACCAGTCTCACTCCCATCAGACCAGTCCCGTCTTGGCTCGCTCTTTCGCGGGTAGTAGTCGGGGAGACTTTTCTCCTCGACAATTCCACACAGCCAGCTCTTTCCGGAGAAGCACGGACCCTCCTGAACTTGATGAAGCTGAACTTGATACTTTCAACATCGAGGAGTACAATTCCTCAAAGATGCGAGAGACCAAAGTGAAGACAAATACAATGATGTACCGACGCGAGAGGCAAAAGCAAAACTTGAACAATGTTCCCACTCCGCTGCTACTGCAACGGGTCCCAGATGGTACAATTAAAAGTGATTCCGGCTTGGATCAAGTTATTTCTAAGACCAAGGTTGTGAAAACGTTTGAGAAGCCCAAGGTTGAGCTAAAAGTGGAGCGATCAAAGAGTGATCTGTGGAAATTGTTGGCAAAAAAGTATAATGGGAAACCGATCGAGCAAACAAGTAGTGCAAGCAGATCAGTTAAATCGAGAAAAACTCTTCGGACAGTTGGCACGCCAAATACTATGGGCAGTAAAAGTCGAAAATGATCGTGATAATTGATTTATTTGGACTTGTTTGATATAAATAAAAAATAATTTGATTGGCCTGCTATAGTTGTTAAATTTTAGTTTTAGAAAGAAAGTTGTACAAATGTTTCTGTAAAAACAATCGCTCCCAAAGGGACATGTTTGTTTATGAAGGAGTACTGAGCGTCGAATTATGATGGATATGATATTTGATGATATCTTAGACGATTGATTGTAATTTCTTGTCTTTTTCGTATTTGATAAAAATGGACAACTATGTTTCAAGAAAGATTAAAAAGAAGCTCAAGAACTTAAAAACTAACAAAAATAGTTCTGATGACCGAGTATACAGATTTGACGAATCACCGCTCCAAGTCGAACAATCCCCGTCCTTGATACAAATGTTATGGAAGAAAAAAAAGAAACCAAAATATCATAAGCCCAAGGCTGATGCCGATGGTGTAACCATGATAGTTCATCAAGCCAGCAATGCTTTATCTTCAACATCGACATCATACCAATTCTCAGATGAAATTAAAACCCAGGATGAAACTGTCGAAAAGGTGAACAGGAACTCATTCTTTAGAAATGGTTGGGTTACTAACTTAGAAGAAAATAAACGGTTGGTAACAGAAGGGACCATAACGACTGTATACGGATCAACTCAACGCGAGCCCAAAATATTAAAAAACATAATATTAAACGAACACGCCGTCAGCGAGAACTCTAAAAAATCGGATATGAAATCTCTTATCAGAGATTACCCTACGAGTCGATCGAGAAAATATCCGATGAATGATGTCCCCTTTGACGATGTCATGAAGATTGGATACATATCCCAATGATGCATGATGCAGATGTGTTAAATTAATCATACATCCGGATCCCGATGGCACTGTCGCGGCATGTGGGTATCCGGATGTGTGACCAAATTGGTCATAAATTATATGACATTTTCTTTCATGACTGATATTGATAACTCTGGACGTCGCTTAAGTCTGGTAATTCGAATTCTTATAACTAGACTTTATAAGGAATTTTGGTGCGTATTGTTTTTCCTTGGGTAATAACATTATATGTTTCTTCATCTATTGTGCTGATTTTTTCCATATGATGTTGTTTGTAATTGTATTGATTATAATTTTCATTCATATACTTCTATAATTTTTTATCAAACTACAGGCCAGGAGGTATCATAAAAATTACTGATGTAACGAGCTCATTGCACAGTTGGACTCCGACTCGTGTAAATTGTAATCAATAAATTGATGTCTAACTCAAGCTGGGTCATCTGGTCATTATTTCACCTTGTATTGATGAACAAGTCAGAGTTCAGACATATTAAAACACTCAGTTCCGGAAAATAGATTGATATCCGGCCGTTTCCAATCGGGCAGCCAAAACCTCAGACCGGTCTGTTCGCGGTTCCTATATCTAATTAATCAGTTTTTAGTGTTATTTTTCGTCATTTTCCCATGAAAGCTTGATCTAGATTGGGTGAAAAAAGGCGCAACTATCTGGCAGCGGGCAGCCACTGACCGGCTAACCCCATTTTCAAGCCACTTAGATCATCAACAAATTCCCTCACTATTTGGGGGCTCGAAATATTCTTTTTCCGATGTACAATTTCCTCGTAGCATTTGTCTATTTATTCTTTGAACTCCGTGCATTTGCAGTCACTATATCACCTCTAATTGGTTATCACGTCCGAGTAAAAACAGAACTATCCTACGGCTACAGCTAAAAGGTTATGCTGTGGAGACAACCTTTTAGCGCCTGTTCTTTGGGTACTACTATAATACTACTACTAGTCATGCGCATGCTCTAGTGGCAAGGAGAACTAGTAGTTCAACTAATGCCCTAGATAAATAAATCCAACATTTCGCCTGGTAAAATAATCGGATTGAGCTCGCAGTTATTTTTACATATTTAACATATTTTTGTAGGTTTAAGTTTAACTTTATAAATATAACCTACTAGGACGCGCGTCGAGTTGGAATCGTCGACGGTCCTAATATTCGAAACAAATATTTTACGAGTATCACCCGTTAAACATATTTAACATATTTGATACAAAGAAAACTCCATTTATAAAGGACGTGGGGAGAGTTAGGACTCCTCCAACTACATTAAATCAATTCCTTCTGTAACGTCCTCAATAAATGTAATATGTTTGTAGTGTTGTAATTAGTTTAAAACTGAATATTTAACATATTTATTATATACTTATACCATTGTAGATGGTAGAGGGAGCAATATTAAATATGTATCTTAAATTGAGCTCATGGGTTCAGTTAATACATATGTTTTTAACATATTCCATGAATATTAATAATAGAGTATATAGAGAGCAATGCCAATATTCAATAAGCCGTCACGGCTAGAGCGATTATACGTGTGACCGTATGGTTTGCTATCGTCCAGCGACCTTCAGACAAACCTGACAGAATCTTATTTTTCTCAAACATTTGGAACGGAGCTATCGTACTGAACAGTTTCACTTTCAGATCCTTTTTATTAAGGGAGTCCGCAATTTTGATTTATCCAGAATTAAAAGAAAATTATTATTTTCACTTTATACAATTACATGTAGAATGTAGATGCTAATTCTTTTTCTGATCGTGTCATTTAATTCAATCAACACTAATTTCATTATGACGTGATAATTCCAGTTTATCTATTTCCACAAGCAGTAAAGAACAATAAATCAATAACGTTTTGTTGTGCTGCTAGTGCTATGTCTATTCTCTATGCCATTACCATATTAACCAATGTTAATTAGTCATAGTGAATTGAACTTCCTTGTCAAAATAGCACTCCTCCAATTGGGATTTAAGGGCCAGATCACAGATAATATTAATACCGACTTTTGTTTTTTGGTCTGATTAAGTCATAAATCCAGGGATAAACGCCATGTCAGCCGGTTGATATGATTTAGTTTTACTTGAGTTCATTAAATTACAATTACATTTTGAATCAAAATACTAATAAACTCAAGTTAATCAACATTTTTGATTAACTTGAGTTTATTAGTATTGCATCAATGGGAAAAGCTTGCATTTCATTCTCGGTGTCGTTTGAGAACGGTAATTTCTACCCTGCAATTCTAAAACCTTTCCGTATTTCCCTTTCCAGTCTTTAAGTCTTTAAATATGATTAAAAGTTAGTTGTTTAATTGGTATCAAACATTAACATGTTGAAATATAATGCCGCCGCGCCGAACAACGCTTACATTACTGGGCAGTGGGCGGTGGTCAGCCTGGCATTACGTCGCATCTCCAACCATTACCAATTGTGTTTATAATGTAAATGAGCATTATTATTTATTGGCCTGGGGTAACGCGTGCAACCTCCCATTAGGTTGAATCCATTCGTGAGTCGCGTGACATAATGAAATCAATATTATACTGAACTTTGAGAATTTGCATTGACTTCAATATTCTGTTCGGAGAAATATTCTGTTCTGAGAAATCTGTTGCAGAATTCTTTATCAGAAACGTATAATGTTTGAAAACAAATACCCATTTTGCTGATCTATCGACATGGCTCCCTCACGGGAAACAAAGGAATGCATGCGGAGGGAAGGGCGTCTGTATAAGGTCACTGGTCAGCCGAAAGGTTCATTGTAACACTATAACATTAAAGTATGATATCGTGTCCAATACGATCAGTCCGGGTACAATTGATTGCCTTGACGTAATTCAAATTGTCATGATCCATCACCCAGTACGCTCTAACGTTCCACGTCTATAAATTCTATTTTCTCCCTACATGTGATACCGTCACGTGTGTGTTCCTAGCATGTGTGTTACTGGCACTCCTGTTTCACTACTATAATATATACCTCGAACGTACAAGTAGAATATATATACTGCTTGACCATGACTGGTGAGGCACCTGCGTCCTGCATGATGGCTTTATCCTTGTCCTTTTAGTGGCGTACAGTTTTGTGGGGGTTGAAGACAAGACTAAAATATTTCTTGAAATATAGCCTCGTTGAGTTTGAATTTGATACAACAACTATCAAAATTATATAAATAATAACATGACAGTTGGTGTCATAATCGCTAGTTAGCGCTAGCTATAATAGACAAAGTGATAAAAGGATGATTAATATACTGATAACGCTCTTCATTCAGCGATAGTTAGCGCTTAGTGCATACCATCGCGTTTAGACTATCGAAAAAAACAACCATAATGTGTCCCTCGTGCATTGATGTCTCGCTCGATACATTTTGTGATTTTGTGCCCCTCGATAAATTTCAGTATTTGAAATGACTTCAATACCCAATCTCATGGTTTGATTAATTTCTTCGCTTGATTTGATTGATTTTATCATTTATATTTTATTACTTAGTATCGTCGTCTCTCGTAAAATCTTGATCGAATGAGGGGCCGGCACTTTGCATTAGCTTGTTGATAATAATATCTTTTTAAAAGAAGTTTATCTTTATTCATTATATATCTAACAATAATATCCCCATATAAGGAAATATGCTAGCGGTACAACTATTTCTCAGTATCATCATCCTCCATCTGCCACCAAGAAAGTGTATTCCCCCACCTAAGTGCAAAATAAACTACATAGAAACTGTCGTGAAGCTTCCAGACAATGATACCAGTAGCACTATAAAGTCAGTGAAGAACTTGAAGAACACGAAGATCAACGTCATACTAAGTCCATCTGTTGAAGATTGTGTTAATAGATGTGGGAACTACTCCGAGTGTGGATCATTTACCTACGAGGAAAACTCCACTCGGTGCACTTTGTATGGGATTCATGGGAGGGGCATTAGGACGGAGAAGTTTGTGACTTTGGAAGATATCACCATAGCAACTGCTGCTCGTTATGTGAATCAGACCATGCTTTATGCGGAGAGAGAATGCATCACAATATCGAAATGCCGGTACGAACACAGATTGCTGATGAATGGGATGGATTTCATTATTCAGTGGAAAGGAAAATACTTGCATGTGGACCTTGGAATGAACAATACCTTATTCCTAGCTGACTGGTCTAAAAGTAGTTACACTTGGTTTACCTATGATATGCATGCTGGTCCTTTGAATACTGGGGCTTATAGACTGTCCAATTATTCTGATTTGTGTCTTGACTGGTCGAAGGAAAGTAAGATGATCGGTGTGACCAGTTGTCAGAGTCAGCCTACTATGATATTAGAAAACAAATGTATCTTCACGATGGGCATGAACGAATCAAAGGTGAGAATTGGAAGTT